CCCGCGCCCCACCCGGTAGACGATGGCGACGGTGTTGAGGAAGCAGAACATGAGGAAGAAGGGGCCGCAGTACACCGACACAGTCAGCAGTATGGACTGCGCGTACCGCGTCCCCTCGAACTGGCGGTAGTAGCTGGTGGCCACGTAGCCCGCGACGCAGGCCGTGAGCGCGTACAGCACGATCATGGCCGTGAACAGCGCGCCACGGTTGTAGGGGTAGAACACCCCGATGAGGGACAGCCCGAAAATGAAGAACGAGAGCGTGAGGACCTGGGTTCCGGTGCCCACGAAGGCCGCGAAGATGGCTTTTCCCGGGGGGAAGCGGAACACGTCGCCGTGGACGTACTTCCAGCCGGACTCCTCCTCCTCAAACTCTAAAGAGGGGGAAGAGTGATTTGGGGCTGTGCGTGTGGGGCCGTGCAGGGCCAGGCCCGCGGCTGGGGGGCCAGCGTTTTGGTGCAGTCGCTCGGCAAGAGGATAGACAGCGTTGTCGAATTTTGTGACAGTGAGGCTTCACGCAATGGTTTGCCAGGGGGAACGGGGTGATTCTGGGGGCCAAGGCGGGTCACAAGCGCCCGGCCGCACACGCACACCCGACACCGCTCTCAACGCACACATCCACGCGCCTCTGCGCGGGCCCCATGTTACCTCGCCCCCATCCCCGCTCACCGCCGTCCTCCCCGCGGCTGAACTTTACAAAGTCAGCCTTGAGCACCCTCAGCAGGATGGTGGCCAGGAAGCCCGTGAGCAGCAGCACCGTGACGCAGCTGTTGATGATGCTGAACCAGTGGATCTGGCGCGGGGCGGGGCGGGGCGGGGCGGAGCGGGGCGGGATGCGAGGGAGTGTGTGTGTGCGTGTGTGCATGTGTGTGCGTGTGTGTGTGTGCGTGTGTGTGTGTGTGTGCTTGCGCGCGCGCGCGTGCCCGCGTGCGTGCGTGTGCATGCGCGCGTGCGCGTGCGCGCGCGTGTCCACACCACCTTAAGCAATGGTTGATCACATGCACTGCAACGCACATCGCAGCACACACGTTCTTGGGTACACACACACACACACACACGCTCTCTCTCTCTCTCTCTCTCTCTCTCTCTCTCTCTCTCTCTCTCTCTTTCTCACACACACACACACACACACACACACACACAAGTAAACAGGTGTGCATTTGTCCCCTCCCAAACCACTGCAAGGCCCACCTCCAGGTGGACCGGGTTCAGCGGGAACCTCTCGTAGCGCTGCAGCCTGTCCTCGTAGGGTATGGTGGTGGGCACCCACTTCACGCTGTAGGTGAAGGCCACGGTGGGCAGCTCGGCCCCCTCGCTGACGTCAGCGACGTGGGCGGGGTCCGTCAGCACGTTGATCTCAATGACCCTGCGGGGTTTTGAGGTTGAGGGCATTTTTTGGGGAGGAGGGGGATGGCGGTATTTGTTGTGAAGGGTGTGAGTGATTGCTGCGGGGGGTTTTGGGGTTGGGGGTGTTGAGGCAGGGGTGCTGGGGCGACGGGGATGCGGGTGTTGACGCGGAGGCTTCGCATCGGATCTTAATGCGTGTGAGTGGGCGGAGCGAAGGCGAGGCGCCGGCGATAAGGGGGACCGGGCATCACCCGGCGTCACCCGGTGTCACCCGCCGGTCACCTGTCCCCGTTGTACTTGATGTCGAAGCTCATGTGGGTGAACACGTAATAGCGGTACTGGGGCTCACCCTGCAGCGGCGGGGGATCGTCAGGGCAGTGATACGGGGTGGCAGTGGCAGTTGGGTTCGACACAAGGCGATCATCTGGGGGTCCCCAGCCGACACAGAGCTTAATGCTTGCAGCAGCGAATTGCCCGCTGAGAGGCGCAGCCCCTTCCTCTGCACCGCGCGCCTCCAACAAGGCGGCATGGAGGGAGGGCGCGAGGAAGCGATGTGAAAGCGATACATGCGCCACAAGCAACACATGACTACATTGAAACACGCGCGCGCACGCACGCACACACCCACACACACCCACACACACACACACACACACACACACGCGCGCGCGCGCACACACACACACACACACACACACACACATAAACACACCCACGCACGCGGGCGCACATCCTCACCGAGTTGGGTATAATCTTCTCCACCTTGCCCACAAAGCCCCACACCGGCAGGTTGTCGTAATACATCTGGAAGTACCAGTCATCACGCACGGCCTGGTGGTGATTGACGGTGTTTTGGTGAGGGTCCCGGGCGGTGTGTCAATGCGGTGCAGTGGGGGCCTCAGGTATGAGGTGCGGGGTTTCTGATTAAATGTTTGCACAACTGCCGATATAACGTTTTTGGTGAGGGCGATTTTGGGGGGTGAGGGGCGGTTGTGAGGTTGTAAAGGGAGCAAGAAGTCCAAGCACTTGCCCGAATGCTCGTCACAGGGGGGAGTGGGTGTTGTCTGTAGGCCAGTGTGCTGGTGCGGGTGTTTCTGGAAGCACACAAATGCGAAGCACCGTCGCTCGGTGACGACCCAAGTGCGTCAAAATCCTCTTGTTGTTCCGGGTTGCTGCCAAGGTCTGGAGGCATGCAGCGGTGAGGAGCCGCCGCGGGACCCCATCCTCGCACGCAAGCTGCTGCGCATAATGCATGTGCGCGTGTCTGCGCATCTGCATCCCGCTGGGGTCCGCTGATCACGCCCCACCTGTCTGTGCCCCTCTCCCTCTCACTCCCCCCCACCGCCTCCCCTCTGCCAAGAG